GCGTTGGGTTTTGGCGAGTGATGCGTTGGTACCAGAAGCAAATGGCTATGAGATGGCACAAAGATAAGAAGAAAGCTAATAAACCCATTGCAAGGAGGAGAATCACGAAGTTGTTAAGAAAGCGATGGCCATGGTCGTCGTCCATGGATAACAAGTTATTGCAGAGTGAGGAAAAATGGTTGGACTTGTCTGTGTTGAGCGTTAAGAGGTGGTGAAGGTGGCCGGCCGAAAACCACGGAGTCATCATATGTCAATTAATTTGACGGTGAATGCAAGAGATTTGCCATTGTTTAATGCATGACTTCTGATTCATGTTTCTGTCTCTTTCTTTATTTGATCATGACTGATAAGGATGTGAAGAAATGTGATGGCTACGGAAAGCATAAAGTGAATGAACACAAACAAAGAAACAAACAAAAACAGCATAAAATGAGTATATATTAGGGTGATATCCTTTTCTTCCATATTTATTTTAGCCACTAAAAATGTATGTATTTCTTTTATGTTTAGTGACATAATGCATCTTAACCGTTATTCTTGTCTTTCTTTTTTGCTTTGACAACTGAGTGGTTCGATGAGCAAATGGACAAAATGCATTTAAGATGGATGGCAACATAAGCAGCAGTGGTATGATTTCATTTCACAGGGATATCCAACTACCACTTCTATGAATTGAAAAAATATACATACCCACAAGAGATAACTTGTTAGCTTGAGAGGCGAGGCTTCCTACTGCTACCAGTCTCTCAGATTCTATTGCACAAAGGGATATCTAGAAATATAATATTCTCTTACACGAGATGCCCCTTCCCTTGAAAGAATCCCCTCAAGATCGCCAATAATTCTGGCCAACCATATCTCCAGATTTCGCTGGATATCTTTGAAGTTGTTCCTCATAGAGTCCAAAGACCGTCTTGTGGTTAGTGTGGTTTCGTTTCTCAACTCCTCCCTGTAATTGTTCTTCCCAATTTCAGTTTGCAATGCCATTAGGTTCTGTCCAGTTTCAGATACCCCCTGTTGAAGCCGAAATGCTTCCAATAAAAACTCTGTTTGAGTTTGGGTTCGGAATTCTGAACTGAGGGAAGGCTCGCAGGGATCATTAGCCTGTTCAGATAATAAAGATGTCAGGCCCAAAATTGCAATCGGTGTTACGTGACAGGAAAATGGTCCAACTTTAACTAAATGAAGCAATAAGATTATGTCAGCAGAAGCAGGCTAGCAAGGGGTCTGTTGTTTTGGAAGAAAATACATTAGTAGGTGGTGCCTCCGCCCATAAGGTAAACTTTAAAGTTCACTTTCTTCAAAAACAGACTAACATCCACACTACAAACAGAAGTACTAACATAAGATTTTTGGTGTCTCTTTCATTCCCCGATTCATAACGTTGTGCATCATGCTTGCACAGCACAATAAGTAATAGAAGCTTTAATTTTCACTTCCTGGATGAAGCAGTTGATAGCGACATAACCATCAATGCTTGCACCACCCCTCAGAAAGTCTCACCTTCTATATATATATATATATATATATATCGACTTGGGACCAATGATACCAGACAATTTATTTTCAGAGCATCACCATAATTTATTCTTCTCAATAGAGTTGTAAAAGACATATACCAACTAAGAGGATGTACCGCTGAAGTTTATTTGATAGGCAGTTGACACCATACATTTTACATATCAGCTGACATAAAAAACAGATTTCAAAATATACACGTAGTAATGCCTTTACAATAATTAGAGGTATTAAGTATTTTAAGCAAAAAGGGAAAAGGATTATTGTGATTCCAACTTTTAGATTAATTACAATTTGCAACATAGAAAAACCTAAAACAAAAGAAGCAATAAAACATGAGTTACTTACTATTCTTCGGCACAAATCATCTATTTTTTCTGAAAGCCCTTGATATCTTTTTGCCTGCTTCTTAATCAAAGACGACGCCTTGGAAGGATCATTTTTACCATTCTTCTCTAGATTTAATAAATCTTGCTCAAGTAATTTAAGTTTAGAGGAAACTCCAGCAGAATCACCATCTACCTTCCAGGGAGACTCCCTTCTGGTGAAAAAATAAAATCGTTTAGTTGGATATGATTCCAAATGCTTCAGAAGTTATCTGCATTTAGACTATCAATTATTTACCTTGCAACAAAATGCTTTGTATTATACATTGATTCAAGGGATTCGTACTGGACATCCTGGAAAAGTAGACATTTATAGGTCAGAAATTGAAAGAGAAGTTCGTGGACGAGTAGTTCGAGAAAAACCAACATAATGATTTTTATTTCAGGTGTAATAAATTTTGAAGTCAACTTATTGGTACTTTTTTGAAACAAAAGTCTCCTCCCCTAGTGCCTTTTAAGATATTAAGTAGGATGATCCATCCAAAGGTTAGAGTTTGGATGGATCACTAATTTGCAAAATGTCAAAGAGTTAATGGGTGATCACTGATCAATGGATTTTAATAAATACCAAGTTTGCCTAGACCATTTCATCTGATTTGTTTTTGGTTGATAATACTCTACAACATGATCTTTTAGAAACAAAAAACCAAACAATCTTGATGGGAAATTTTAATTAATAGAAACATGAGCCAATAAATAAATATCTAGGTTTTGAGACAGGTCATTGAATTGGTTAAGGCACCACTGGAAGGTTTATTGATCACCAGCATTAATAAAATAATACAAAATAATTAAATAATATATAAAATAACAATAAATATAATATCATAACTTAATAATACTAAAACTAAAACTAACATTTTATAAGCATTTAACATTCAAAACATGCATATAAATCAAATATAACATAATATTTATATTCAAGGTTCAACATACATAATAATGTTTTTCGAAAATAACAAGTTACTTGAAAAGAAAATGATAAATACTTTACAATTGTTGTTTTATGGGAAAAAAACAAAATAATATTTAAAAAAATATTTTAGAAAAAAATGTAGACCTGTTTAGAATCAGTTTTAAGCCAGTTTTTTACCGCAACCGGTTCAATTGAAAATGGGTTTTGTGGTTCTAATGAACTGGATACCGGACGGATTCAGTCTGGTTTTGACACGATTCAGTCTGGTTTTGACAGGATTCAGTCCGGTTTTGACAAAATATAAATATAAAACAACTTCAAACTCATGTGTTCTACAAGATTCAACGGGTAAAAGATAAAACAGAATGCAGAAAATCCCTAGAACACCAATCATTAACAAGATTAGAAACACGAGAAAAATCATAATACGTTAATTTGGGATGTGTGTTTTCTTTTTCACGTTTTCGAAACCAAATCTATGGTGAATAGAATTAATATTAAGAGAAGTGGAAATTCTTAGCTATTCTTTTAGTAGAATTTATTCTGGGTGTAGAACCCATAAAACAAATCTATGTTTACACTTCAAAGGAAATTTCACTTTATCATCTAAAAAAAATCATTTATTCCTAAACTCAATTTCAAAACATCATTTTCTAAAATTCTTTCAAACCCAATTCTACCCGAAGTCTGACCTAATAAATCAAGAAACTCATTTGTCCCTAGTGGGTGCTCTAAATATATCCTTAGTCTGTCCTATGTTTCCTTCGTTCAGTCAACCACTCTCGAAGAAGAAAGCATGTGCTTCCCAACTGCTGTTTGCAGCAGCAAAGAGTAAAAGATCGTGAGACCCTGATACCAGCAGCAAAGGGCAGAGCAAGAACTTTTCCATGTCAATCAATGCATACTAAGGGTGAGTTTAGAATTTGTCGATTACAAACTATGGTGTGCCTCAACCCAACCAACTGTTGCAATCAATGCAGACTATGGTTTGTTTGGGGTATGCAAACAATAATAAAAATCATGCACGAACCACCAACCAACAGCGATATCAGAGGCTTAAGCAATTAGCAACCATGTCCCCAGCACAGACAATAAACAACCTAGAGAATAAAGGCCCTATATTTCAGCACCGGATAAGAATGGTGACTACTGCCTGCTGAAAGTAAAGTGGACCAGGCACACAGAGCAACATAACATGCAATAGGGGACAGATTGCTACCAGCAAAGGACAGAAGTAGACAAATAACAATTGGATGGTCCATGGCTCCACCATGGTGAACCATTATGAAACCTAACCAACTACATCTAAACTCCAAAGGGAAAAAGAAGGCTTCTAGGACCCCAAGTTGCCATTACATATCCCATTTCGTTTTCCTCATAGAAAAGCCATGTCTAAAGCAAAATTTATGCCGTACCCTCCTAAAACTATAACCTTAAAAGTCGAGTAAAAAGTGGAGGTAAATGAACAGTCCACAAGGTTAGAACCGGAAACATGCCGACCAGAATCCTAAACCAGGTCATCGTCCTTGTAAAAGAGCTCAACTTTTTGCCGTAGACCACTTTTTAACCATGAAAAAGTATTAATTATCTACCACTTTAGGAAAAAAATTGAATTAAATATCTCTTCTGTCCTTTATAAATGAGTTTCTGATTACTTTTAATACCTCAAATATTTTTATTAATATCATCGTCTCTCTAGTGTGTAAAAATGGGTGGTGAGTAATTCTTAGTTTTCATAGAGGAGATGAGATATTAAATAGTGACAATTTCTTGTGAATGACAGGACCACATATAACAATTTTATAATTAAGAGAGACTAAACAAAGTTTGCTTTTCAGAAAGCGAATACGGACATGATTGAAACGACTATAAACATATTTAATCCAAAACTAACTAAATTAAAATTGCAAGCGCCATTTTCCTTTGTTTTTGTAAACTTCCAATTGTCTTATGCATGTGTTGATTAAGAACCTTTACCGAAAAGTAAGACAAGAAGAAGCAAATATTTAATCAAAATAAGCCAATCCAAACACTCTTATCTCAAATTTCAGCGAAAAAAGGGTAATCAAAGTCAACCACACTAAAAAGAAATCCACAAACCTGCCAAAGCGAGGCTTTCTCAGCCCAGAACTTGGAAGCAGAGGCCATAAACTCAGAATCAAAGCCATTGTTCCCAAAATGTTGACTATGCTGTTCATAGATAACCTCAACCTCCTCTTCCAAACTCCTAGTGGACCCCACCAATTCCTCCTCCTCCACCTCCTTCTGAAACCACTCCCCACTCTTCTTACCGTAGTGCTCCCCCCCACCCAACCCCTCCTCCTCTATCCTCCGCGACATGAACCCAATCATCTCGTCCCGCTCCCCCACCTCCTTCTCCGCACGCGCCACGCAATCCTCCAGCTCTGCCACGCGCCCCCTAAGGCGCGCGATCTCCTCCGCCGCCGCCTCGATCTGCTGCAACAGGCGCTTCTCCTCCGCCTGCCACGCGTTCCGGTGCGACGCGAAGATCTCCACCACTCGAGCGTTCGCCTTCGAGTCCTCCTGCCGCCGCGACTTCATCTGGCGCAGCTCCTCCGCCGCCTCCACCGCCCGCAGCGACAGCATGCGCACCTTCCCCTGAAGCGCTTGTACCGAGTTGTTTTCCAGCGTGGCCAGAAACATGGAGAAGCTGAGCCCTAAATACGAACGCAACATCTTGTGATAGTCTTCTTCTTGCTGCTGTTGTTTCTCTTTAGCCATTGCGACGAGGGCTTGGGTCTTCCTCTTGGACTTCGTCTCCGTGAGCAGCCTCTGTTCGTACGGGAAAAGGAGAAGAAGCAGAGTAATGGCGTTGGTGGTTTTGGTTGTGTGGACTTTTAGAACTCAGCAAAAGGGAAACAGTGCCTTTTTGTCCTTTCTTTCTCTTCATGTGCCTGCCTTTGTCTTTTGATGCTTATTTAACCATCATCAATTTTAAAAAATATATATATTTTATAAAATAATTCTACATGTACTATTATAATAGAATAATTAATTTTTAAGAAATAATTAGTAATTGTGTAATTGTTTCTTATTTTCTTTGTTGGTCGATGTCAATCAATGATTGATCTTTTTGGTTTCTTGATTAATCTTAAAAAGTGTGATGTGGCCAAGTGTATAAATAAGGTTGTCGATTTACCTTTTACTGTTTTGAAGTGTTGCAGAAAGAAATGTGGGTCTATCATCTCTGCCAATGCGTCTACAGTGTTGGTATCTTCAGAAAATGAAAACGACAATGGGTAATTTTAAATAAGAGTAAAATTTGAAAAATATGAAAATTAGTAGAGAAAAGTTAAAAAAAGGCAGCTAAGAAATTTTGTTACAGTGTTCTTGAGAAGTGATGTGAGTAATAAAATGTAAAAGAAAAAATTACTGAGAATTGAAAGAGCAAAAGCAACGGGAAGGATGAAACACGATGTTCAGAAAAAATGATTAGTGGTTGATCTGGTTGTGGCAAATAAAGGGGTGATGATTGTACCTTTAGGTCTTGAATAGAAAGTATATGCAAAAGCACATGGAAAAGGAAGATAGCCAAAAAGCAGAAAGAAAAAGTGAGGGAACAACTACATGACAAGTCCACAGCTATAAAGACTACAAATACTTGCTCGATTCGTCTTATCAAGCACACAAATAAATCACATATATTCGGTTCTTTCAGTATTAGAGGAGTTATGTTATTCAAACTTTTAAATTAGGCACATAAGTATCTACTACTTTTTTTATATTATTAAAATATTTTTAATTTACTAAGTCATTTAAAAAACTTATTATTGTTATAACATACAATCAAATATCTAAAAGTAAAAGTATACTTTATAAATAAAAATTGAATATTTTATCATTAAAATTTTAAATTATAAATAAAAAATTGTTGCATGAAGCCTTCAATCTTTGATTGATACATAGATGCAATGGAGTTGAAGAGGCTCTTTCAAAAAGATGCCCAAGGTGGCAGTTATGAAAATAAATTCATTTATTTTTAAAATAATTATTCAGCACAGTATA